GTATTCACTAAACAAGTTTTTCATAATACACATAAAGGTGGCAGGTGCATTAGCATCTCCTTGTAGCCTGACTCTACTGATGAAGGTTCCCAATAGTGTTTTGAATGAGTTTTTTAATTCGCTTTCTTCATCCACCCTTGTCTGGAAGTAAGCATTGCTTAAATCAATTTTGCTGCAGTATTTTGCATGGCTTACTGCTTCAAGGATCTCAGTCTGATTCAGAATTGAGGAACTGTCTATCACTTTGGTGCTATTTCAGAGCTTGAGGTCTATTAGAGGCCTGATTCACCTCATCTTGGTCTTTGGTTGGACAAACATAGGTGCTGCACCAGGTGCCTCCTTTCGGTAGATCACTCCTCTTCTCATGATTTTATTGATCCAGTCTCGCAACTCAGGCTGATCCTTATAGCCATGAGGTATTGAGTAGGTGGATTGGTTTTTGAGGTTATTCAGGTCCTTAAAGATGATTTGGTGGTTTGCTGCATGTAGGGGAGGTAGTTTTTCTGGAATCTTATCTGGAAAGATATCATCAAATTCTTCTAGCAGTTCATGAACCACTGACTAGCACATGGCTGCTTGGTATTCTTCCCTGGTAGGGGTACAGGATACTAGGACCTTTTTGTCTGAGAATTCTATAACAGAGTCGCCACATCTGATGACTGCCTTGTGCTGAGTAAGAAGGGGCATCCCAATTATAGCATCGAATTTAGCTATATTTCCTAGTAGCATCTGGTGTTCCAGGAACTTGACAGTTTCTAGCTGGATTGAGACATTTACGGTTTTATGGCTAGTAGAGCAGGATCCCTTTACCGCTATTGAGACCCAAATTGGTTGCTGGAGGGTCTCAGTTTTGAGTCCTGGGTAGCTGCAAAGATGTTGGTAATCATGTCTGTACTGATTGCTCCCATATCAACACAGACTTGGCAGGGTGCCCATTGATTTGGAGGGTTCCTTCTAGTGCTTAGTGGGGGTTCTTTCTGGAGTTGAGCTGGATTAGGAACCACTGGGTTTCCACGGTGTTGATCTGCACATCCTCGTATTCGATTGCTTTGCGTTTTTCTGAAACCTGGACTTCTTAGTCCGTGATGGACATGGTCCATTGTCTTGTCATTCCCTTTGAGGTGGTGGAGGGGATCTAGTTTCATAGGGATTGGTTTTATGCAGTATTGCATCCTTTCATTCAGTTTTCTTTATTATGTCATGGATGTCATCATCATCTTCCTCCACTGGTTCCACTTCTTTGTGGAGTAGGGGGTGCAAAGCATCATAGAAGCAGCGTTTCTGCATATAGGCCGATACTGCTCCATGGAGCAAATACTTTACATAGAGCAAGAGGTCTGTTGCTATCATTGAGATTCATTCTGTCTTTCCGCCATGGGTCTAGCTGATGCTGTTGATGGCTTTGAATATCTCTACACTATTTCAGGATGACTTGAATCGCTCCGTCCATGCTTCCAGTAGTCTTGTCGCTCTGGCTCTGTCGCCGTATGCCTCCATGTACTGATGGTAGGCATTGAGGGCTGTGCCTTCACACAAAGCTCCTATATACATTCCCATGTTGTGCTCCTCAATGTTGATACCATGTAGCCTCAGGGTATTGGTGAACCGCCATTTCCCATCGCTGGAAAGCTTCTGGTTTTAGGTTATCACCCTTTCCTGAGAATTTTGCAGGTAGAGGAAGATTAATTTTAGGGGGGTTGACACATATGCCACTGACTCCAGGTCTACCTCTGGGAGGATCTGGCGGTCCTGGAGCACCTCCGGGTGGGTCAGGTAGGTGTACTGGTAAACACCTTGCAGAGGCTGATATGCACTAGTATATAAGAGATTTCTACAACAGTGTACTGACACCTTAGGCCCTTCAGGGACATAGTAATGGTGCAGGGCAACCCTTATAGAGCAGGGTATACTCATGTTGGTCGAGGTAACCTGATCGCAGAGTTTTTTGTATAAGTCTAACTTCTTAAAGATTATATGAGAACACTCCTATTCCGCCACAATCAACATCCTCTCAAGAGACGTTAATTGAGATAAGCTTGACCTTACTGATATTAAGTTTTACTGTTTACTTTTATTCTTTCCACTTTGCAAGAGCTGTGTTCGAGAGATTCGAAGTTGGTGCAGTCACATCCTTAGAAACCATCTACCTGAAGCAGCCCCCATTTCACAAGCTAATTACCTGATATACTTGTAGTAGTATACCACTGGCCGGGCTCCTTGTGAATAACTGTTAAGAATTCTACCTAGTAGGATAGTGCGACAGGTAACGATACTTGTCTTAACCAGGGTAATAGCTCTTAGGCCTTTGCCTACACGAGCTTGATAGCTAAGTCCTTTGACTTCTATCGGGTTGCGCCTATTCCCTGACTGTTCTCAAGTCCTCGCCTAGGACTTCTTTGTTCGACGTGGGAGGAGAAATAGTTTTCTCGCGTGAGAGGAGATTCAATTCTTGGCTTTGTTAAGATAAATCTTAAAGAGCGTAAAAGTAGGTTTTATTGGTAAAACTTCAAGGTAGGAAATAAACAAGAAGAACGTGGGAAGAACTAATGCTAGGGGTCCTAGTGACGCTTTATATAGTAGGTCTTCACCCGGTGTGACTCATACTTATGTGTCACGCGAACCTTGTGACTCATAACTATGAGTCATGCGAAATCCCTCAGCTGACTCCTATGAGTCACTGCGCAACATTCCTAAAACCAATCAAACATAATAACCAAGTCAGGTGCGCAACTCGCGTTGCCTGAGTGAAACCCATGACTCATAACTTTGAATGATGTGCGAAAATCATAACATTGTGTGACTTGCAATTGTGAGTCACGAACAGGTAAACATCATAACCTATGGCGCACTAGTGTACGTCATGTGAAATCCCAACATACCTATAGCTCGGAGTTGCCAGCTATGTAAAATCTGCCTTGCTTAGTCACAGTTTGTGACAATAATACCTGGTACAATAATCATCAAAGGCAAAACAGCTCCATCACTACTCATTATTCCACAAACTGTTACCAGTTCTCAATTTGTACAACTTGTCAAGTAAGCCTACCTATTTGGATCACATGTAATAATCCCTTGATCACAGCCAACACCAATCCGAAAGCCTGTTTCATCAAAGTTGTACTGGTCTGTTCATTTAATACTGTACAATTGACAGACCCCAAGATATTTTTCAAACCAGGTTTGAATATTCACAGGTTAATCAGCATGTTTGTGATCTGCATCTATTGATTGTTGCTTCCAAATAATGGATTCAGGATGGTTCTTGAGGAAATGTACTGCCCATTGGTTACACATAACAGGACCTGGTCCCAGACCTTTAAGTGCATATTAGAGAATTGTATTCAAGTTTGCATAGCACATAACCATTTGCAAGTAGAGGCTAGTACTGACTCTATTCAACTAGTCTAGATACTGGCAGACGGCCAGCTGTTGAGCTTGTGAAATCATGTGGTTTGTTCCACATTGATCTTGACATGATTGTTGACCTTGTAAATGTACTGAAAGACAGTGAACTGGTATTTTGTACTGATGGGCAATAGCGGCCACATTTGGATAATGGTTTTCACTCCTTAGATGAAAGGGAATCGCAAGCTGGATTCATGTCTGGCTATCTCCATAAGGTTCGACTTATTGGCTTGGCAAAATCAAGGGTGGAGCTGGTGGCATGATTTGTTGTTTCTGCGGTGAATTGTTGATTCAGTAGGAGTATTTGAATTATTTACAAACTGTTTATAACAAGCAAACTAATCTTAATTTACAAAGTTGTAGAGAGCCACAAAGTACTGTTGAGCCACAAAGTGCATTGAGCCACAAATTGCTGTTGAGCCACAAAGTACTGTTGAGCCCCAAAGTTGCTGTCGTGAGCCACGAAGTACCGTTGAGCCATAAAGTACCGTTGGGCTGTCAGGCACTCTTTAGAGTGCCCCCGGTTGTGAGCTTGCAAACATGCGGGGGTTGTGGTGGCCAGCCACAACCTTGGAACGAGTATATTAACCTGGTTCTAGGACTAGTTGCCACTAGCAGTAGGTCGAATTTGACCAGTATCACCTAGGCGGTCCGGAACAGTAAAATTGGCAGCCATAAACAGTCACTCCAGATCTCACAAAAAGTATAAGTCCATTGACTTAGTAAATTGGAATTAAGACAGAATTTAAGGCTGTAATTAAATTCACTCTTGGCTCGCGGGTCATGTGTCGTAGTAAAAAATAGTTCACATCGGTTGTGCTAGTGCTGTGACTGGCCCTGTTGACCATTTAGGAAATATCATAGTATTCGTGTTATCTGACCTAACACCACAACCATCGCACCTATTTCTCAGAACCTTAAAGGCTTCGCAACAACAAAGATTGGCACTCGTACCACCTCCGAGGCATAACTTTCTTCTATATCTACGAGAGATTTCCGAAAGAATGCCCGCCATGCCCGCCCCGCAAGCCGACGCCGATATCACCTCGCCCCACAGCTCCCAACCCATGGAGCCTGAAAGACCACTCAACGCCTATCCAACCCCCCCAGACGGCTCCCAACCCATGGAGCCTGAGAGTCCACAAGACGCCAATCCAACCCCCCCCGACACCTCCCAACCCATGGAGCCTGAGAGACCACTCGACATGCATTATTATCTTACGGAAGGGCTAGAGGGTGTAGAACATCATGCATATCGTGATATTAGTACCTTCAAAGGGGCAGTCAATTCACGAGCTGACGCATTGCGTTCGGGTGAAGCTGACGAATACCTTCCCCCGTACCTTATTTTTTCCCCAGTAACACCACACCAACTTGCGAATATCGACAGTGCTCGCAAAAACCGCTACAAAGGACTCCGCTTCCTCTACCTCAACGAACCGAAGACATTGATTGTTAAATACATGCCGGACCCAGTGCATGAAATGGTTAGCGACGAGTTGGTTTATGCTATCAGGAAGAAGATAGACGAGGGGGGTCAGGGAGCCGAGATTACTAGCATGCGGAGTACGACCTACCAAGGCAAACTCAGTTGCAAAGAAGCCGATGGGTCGCTCAGACCTCGCCGAGCTCGTCCTAACCACAACGATTGGCCGACATTTATCACCGAGTGTGGCGTATCTGAAACCCCACGCCGCTTGGAAGTTGACGCCCGCTGGTGGATCGATAGCTCGAATGGTGATGTCAAGCTTGTCCTCCTGCTTTTTGTATCGGTGAAAACCAAAACTATACGGATTGAGCTGTGGAAACAAGCCATGGTCGAAAATCCACAACGGACCCGCACGAACGATGAAGATGAAGTTATCAGACCAACTCTCAAAAGAGTAATCAATATTACCCCCGAATCGGTCACCGGTGCCCCTTTGAAGTTGAACTTTAGAGATCTCTTTTTACGCAAGCCCAAGAAAGACCGTGGAGAGGGCAATTATGTCATCACCGAGCCGGATTTGAGATCCTATTACGAGGCCATCTGGGCTCCTGCACCTGAACTCCGTTCTGAAGATGAACCTTGTATGTCAGGCCTGTTGATCTCTCGCGTGAATTGCAGTCAAAGCTAATTGTAGCAGCCACGGAACAGGAGAGTGGGTCAAGCAGATCGTCGGAAGGGTCCGTGGTAGATTGAGGTATTGGGTATGGTGGGGTGTGTTTGGTCCGGGAGATATTTAGGGGGTACCGAGATGTGGTGGGTGGATAACGTAAGAGAGGGAGGTCTATTTCGTTTGGCCTATTCCTTGTGCCTCACTGTTTGTTGATCCCGCCCCATATCTGGGCCAGTGAGGAAATGCTAAACCTTTCTCTTTTTCTCTATCCTAACCTTCCTTCAAAGTTACCACTCCCGAAGACCCAAACTAAACTTCTCTAGCCCGATAGCTCTCCTCCAATCATGCAAAAATCCCCTTGACCCAGCCATGCCCCCAACCACACTATACAAAGTACCCATCCCTCCCCTTCGTAATCTCCACTTCGCATCTTCCTCCCCTACCCTTGGCTCATCTGTCTGCTGAATGGGTCTCAATCCAACATGACGATCCAACCATTTGCTCTCCTCCTCCTCCTCATATTATGGGCCCTTCTCACCCGCACCCAGGAAGTCGCCCAGGCAGTATCCTTGGAATTCTCCGCTACCCTTTTTCGGTACTCAGTGCTCCACCCCAGACACTATATCTCTTACCGACACCCTACTTTTCCCCTGGTACAGCCCTGCTGGTCCCCACAGGTGAAATGTACCTCTCAGATTCCTCCCCTCCAGAGTGTCATTGGAACCGCATAACAGATCCGCAAGACGGTTGCTTCGTGGGGACTTCCTCCTCCGATGAAGTATGGGTATTTGGTGGTGGTAGTCAGATCATGAGGCTGAGGGCAGGTTCCAGTGTCGCGAGCTTGAATCTCATACTTTGGAGGGGAAGGCGGGAGCATACTAGGAATTTTTCTTCGATTGAAGATATCCCCCCCCTCTCAATTCCCCCGGAGCAACAAAAATTGAAAATGAAAAATAGCCAGAACATGAAATATCACATTGTGATAATACCAGTGGGTGGGTGAGGCAATCATGCTGAATCACTCTCCCGCAGCCAAAATCATAAAGTGCTAGCCAAACCCGCGGAAGTGACTACTCTCTAATCTCTGGGTGGAGGCCCCCCTGCTACAGCCAATCTCTGGGTTCTTCATGAGCCCTGTGAATTCGACCCCCAACTCTACAGCGACTCCTCCCACAGAAGCTACCGAATAATACACCGCATGCATAGACGCACTTAGCAAGAGCGGGTACTACTTGAGTACAATGTGACCACGACAGAGACTTCATCTCTAGTATGACCCCTGGGTAAGGAATTGGTACCGCCGCTGTTTCCCGAAAGACTACAAAACCCCTATATGGGTTCTTGCTGGGGGGGCTCCCGGTCAACATTATCTACGGGAGTGTTTTGGAGCATAGAATAGTCGGGTTGAGTGCACCCCAGAGAGCTATGAATTCAGGAGTTCCTGAGAAGAACCTTGTTTCGTTGTATTTAGGCTGGGAGGATGTTAATGGGTTGGTGGCGATAGGTGGATTTGGCGAGGAAGTTATTGACCATGGGCATAAGGCGGTTTTGTCTAAGGTGAATATTAATTCTGAGGGGTTTGATGTGGCCATTACCTCCGTCAAGTACATTGGAGGCTAGGGAGGAGATAAGGAAATAGTGGTACACAAGTCCACAATGGGAGCTACTCGTGTGGCCCTCTCGTACAATTCCTCTCAACCAAGACTACGCTAGACATGCCTATCCCGCTGCTCTCGCTATTCGGGGGCCCAGGCTACGACAAGGGCATGAACGGGTACGTCTATACCGGCATCCCACCTGCAGACCACACCCTGCACGTAACACTCTCCAACAGAACTCCAACTGTAGCAATTAGCGCTGGCAGCACTGCAACAAACAACCGACGCAGACACTCCAGCCCTCGGCCCTATAATCGGTAGTGTGGCATTCCTCGCACTACTACTAATAACATACATAGCCATTGAATGCTGGCGCGCACAAAGCGGAAGTTCAGGGAGTAGACTAGCCGGGCTTTTTGTACCCTCCTTTGGACCCTCCTTTGAACCCTCCTCTTTCTCCTCACCCACACTCTACTATGTGTCAGGCGAGAAACTACGTTCGCACTCCATAGCCACGGATATGAACCTGTCCGACTTCAAAAAGAAGTCAGCGTTTTCAACCCGTAAGTGATTTGTGGTAGTGGAATCCGCATGGGAGCTATGGTGGATATTCCGTGAGAGATCAATGATGGCACAGTTCGATTAGGTAGCCAGTGTAGGAAAGGGTTGTATATGTAGGATACATTGCATTTCACACCATCGGAGTGACAATGATGTAGGTGTTATCAAAGGTTGTGAGTTCATTATAATTTATCATCCTTGTTTACCAACCCGGCTTCAACGTGGGGAGGTGTTTAGGGAATAGCGAAGGGGTTTTAGGGGTGAAGATTGTGGAGTGATTAACTAGGGCTGGGGCTGTGCGCTCTACCTTCTCTTATCATTTACAAGGTTTTACATTACCGTGGCAGGCAATACCGAGTGATATTAGGTGATCACCCACCATTCCCTCCAGCCTGCCTGGCTGATTGACATGCCTAATGTGAATTCGCCCCCCGGAGCCCACAATATACTAGGCCAGAGCCAATACCCCAGTAGAGGATACACTCTGATTGCAGCTCATTCATCATGATGCTAAAGCACAGGGTACAAACCTTAGCTGATCGACCAGGCTTACGCGGGCTCTGCGGGAACATGGTGTAGGCTGGGTCGATTGAAAACACCCCAGCACGACGCCAAACAAGGATAATATATTGAAAACAGAAGACACGGTCCTTGTTTATGATCTAATAAGATTCCGGCATCGCTCCAAAGTGAAGTCGGCCCCCTCAGTCAATCCCTCTTTATCAGACAATCTTAACCAAGAGCTAGCTAAGAGCGAGCACATCAAATCGCTGTCGCGTATACCTAACCTGGCCACCAACGAAGAGTGGATAACAAACGGCTGCATGAGTATGGGCACTTATGTATGCTGGGTGCTAACCAAGAGTGGACGAAAGACTGTTGGATGAGTATATGAACCACTATACTCACCTGACAAACGCCAAGACGTCAACCGACACCCGGTTTCTTATTCAACCGTCTATCCTGCCTCCCTCTCCGTCTCTTCTCACTCCTCCGAACACGTTAAACACATCCTACACGTTAAACACAACCACCGCGACCGATGCTATCCCTTAACGGCCCATACATACATACATCCGCTCGCTCAAATACCAGCGATGCCGTCAGCAGGGGCGACAGATCAACACACGGCACAGTGCCATGATGCAGGCCCGGTTTGGATTGTGATGTGGTGGTGGGCTGTAGCTATCGGCTTCCTAATCGTGGCTTTGTGCGGCTATTCCATAACACTGGCTTTGTGCAGACGTGCCATTTCACGCCGGGCCACTGATGCCCACACCAACATCCATGCCTACCCCAAATACCCTGGTACCCCGACAGATGTGGATCCTGCTCTGGCCGATGCTGATGACGTGATCCCCACCATTGTCATTGTGCATCTCGTAGTCCTTGCGATAGCTGAGTACGCTCTCGTCCTCATCGTTCGGATTGAGACGTGGTGGTGGGAGTAGGTGGCGGTTATAGGGAGGGTACGGAAAGGTGGGTTGTGCTTTTCTGATTGAAAGGTGACATTTTAAACCTTTGGGCGTATATCCGTAAGATGTACCACTATAAGGATTCATGGTAGGTGATATGTTGGCCTTTCAAATGATTACCTGTATGTACAGATATTACCGAGCTTGCTGATTGGATAGCAGGCACTCTACTCGAGTAGTGCATTCATTCATGGCAGTGCCAATTATTGTATATAGAATCATTGACTAGGGGCCCGCTTACATCTGTCCCCCCAAACCTCTTTCATTCGATAAGCGCTCCATGTTTGGTGATCTACGCTATGCATCCAACATCTGGATTGTTGGTCTGGTAGAGGTGGAAGGCTCTGATATCAACTGTGGGGATAGTTTACCTATGCAACTGCCCCTCCCACACACGCTGCTTGAACGGGCCTCCTCGCGCTGCCATGCGAGGACCATGGCGCTGTTAGAGTCCACTGGCTGTTGATTCCGAGTGACCGCCTGTGACACATTTGGCTTTTCCGATTGTTAATTTGATGATCACTCATTTCTTGGGCCAAGAGAACACTCAAATGCTGGTATAATACCTATCACCTGTCCGCATAGAAAGTTGATATTGATTCAAGCCCCAACTGCGTAGTAAATGGGAATGTACCAAGAGCCCACTCAGGACCGACCATCCCGGGATTCTATAGGCCTATTACTGGATGGAAGACTCCTTTTCAGAGAACGGCGGGGTTATAGCAACAAGATGAGGCACGATCACATAATGGGACTTGGGTAAGGGGTTTTGCGCTTCTAGCGAATGAACGGAAAGGACAGGAGATATATAAAGCCGAAAACGACAACATTTTCCAATCCTTCTAATGGTCACCACACATAGATGAAAATGCAACAGCCACGGCGTGCGTCCCCGATATATCTGAGCTGGAGATTGGCGCGCGCCCATAAATCGTTGTCATGAAGGAGACATCGCGGGGTAATCAGAGGGATGCCCCTTTCGTGGATGCGTCCATCATCTACTCATATTAGAGGGTAGCTTCCTCAGGACAGAGCATCAGTTGTCAGCCACTTAAGGGAGGAGGGGAGTCATGTGGGGCAGGTAGCAAAGGCCATATCCATCAAGCAAACGAACCCTCCATTACTCAAAACAACGGCGATCAACCTCTCAGGGAGGGGGGGTTTCATATGCGGCAGATCACAAAGGAGATACCCCCCAGGGCAACCAAGCCCCCATTACTCCTGGGCCGCCTGAAGGTACGTTTCTGTTGAGCAGAAGCTCTTCCACCTGACATGAGCTAATAAGGTATAGTGCATTTCA